AGGCCGCCGACGGCGAGATCGACGGTTATGCCTACTCAAGCTTTGGATAAGACCAAATTTTGAAGGGATGCTTAGGCAACTCTTGGGAAAGCTCATCCACAACTTTAAGAAAACATTTTGGCCGAAATTTGAGAGATGCCCTGGAGTCTAGAGGAGGTGGCGAGAGTCTATAGGCCCTAGAGGTTAGAGAGGTTCCATTAGTGTGTAACAATTGTGAGGATTTCTTCGAGAAATTATAAGAGTGGAGGGAAAGTGAGGGATTTCTTCCTCCTTGCTACTTCGAAGAGGAATTCTGTGTGCTGTAAAGAAAGGAAGAGATTCAGAGGAACTTTGAGGAGTGTTCGTGGGAGAAATTAGAGATAAGTTATTTACTTGTTGTAGTTTATATGACTTGGATTTTATATATGAATTCCGAGTTTTATTTTGTTTTCCTCACGAGATCTGAGCAGTTTTCCTTTCTTTCTCCTTATTTTGAGGATTGTGAAATGGTGTTTTGAATTGGTTGAGCCACGAAAATGTTAAAGAAATTGTGATGGTCTTTTCACTTCGATCTTAATTTACACTCAATCTGGTCATTTGATTTGTTAAAAAATGTTGAGTTTTACAACTAAAGCGAAGATTACATCCAAGATTCAGGGAGGTGAAAGCACTTGGAAGTTGGGTGCAAATAAATAGGAAAATAAAATTAACGGGCATAAAATTAGAGATTTTAGAGTGACAGACTAAAATCCCCAATTCGGTCCTATCGTTTGGGTGCTGAAGTGTAGATGTTAGCCCTCAGGCGAGGGGAACGTGGGAGCTCTGAAGTGAGAGCTGGTATCCGGTATCCTCCCAACCTAGCCGCAGATTCAACAAACAAGCATAGGATTAGTCAATGTTCTTTATCTCTGGACCAAAGGGTAAGAAATAGATATGCTCCTATTTGGCACAATATAAATTGAACTAATTCATTTTATCAATTCACTATAATTTCTTGACAAGGAGAATGATGTTTTCTTATATATTGAATATCACAATTAAACCCTACTTTTTATCATTAGTTATTTATTAGTTATTAAAATTATCTATTTATTTCAATTTTCTATTAATGACAGATAAACAAATTGAACGTCCTTGTTGTGATTAAAGTATTGCTTTTCTAAGGTCGTAGTCCGTAATTCTAAACTACTCCTTGTGAGATCGATATCTAGGACTCCATTAGAGCCCTGTATTACTTGAGCGATACGTATACTTGCGCTGATAAGTGTGACTTTACAATTATTGAATATTTAATACGTCCATATTTATCTTATATTTTATTGCATATATAAAGTCGTTGTCAGAGTGTGTCCATGATCGATATCACTACAAATATTGTGCAATTTTTTTTATCATTTCCTTGTTAATGATAGTATATACGCCCAACGATTATTCCATATCTTGGTATATTTGCAGTAATAATGCCCCTAGTCAACATTTCAGAGTACTTAAATAATCTGAGGAAATGATAAGCACAGAGCTGATGATTAGACACAGAACAGAGATTGAGGATAGATGTATTACAGCTTTGGGTGAAAAATAAACTAATAAAGACATACAGGAGAGAGACGAGAGCTATTTGCCCTTAGGTTTCTTAATGAAGGGGGGGGGGGGGGGGGGGGGGGAATTATAGAAAGGAGCATCTTTTTTATTGTAATTTGGTAAAGAAACTAAAAAAAAAGCTATTAAGATGCACAAACTCTCCTAATGGAAAGATTTCATATAAATTTATGCTTTTACAAGAGACACTCACAAAATTAGATTTTTAATATTTAATAATTAATATTATAAAGAATTTAAATATTAATATTTATATTAACTATTATTATAAATAAATTTGTTAATTATTTTTTATTATTTAATATTTAATTAATATTAAATTAATAAAAAAATATAATTGAAAAAAATGAATTAACTAACAATAAATGAAATTCATAAAATTTATTTCACATTAAAATATTCTCATAACATCATGTTTATAAAATAATATTATCTTCTATGTCGGGGTAAAATGACACTTGTATCATGTGTATATCGAGACGATGGTCACAGTAGTCAATGTCGCAAATGATGGTTTTGAAATTCTTCTTCAACATTATCATCTTTAGTTTTGTCAATCGTAATTTATCGTGAGATCCATTAATTTTCTACATTCATGAGATTTGATGGTGAATAAAATTGAGATGTACCAAAATTCATGGTTGTATTAAATATAGGCGCAAACATGAGAATGTTTTGAAAATTCAAATCCAAATCTCCACCAATAGAAGTCGTCCATTGTAAGTCAAATGATGGACCCTTATATGTCGATGACCCTGTAAGTTGGAGGGTCCGCAAATACTGATTGGCGAAGATAAGAAATGATTTTGGATATTATTGTTCATGCAACTCATGTAAGAGAGATCTAAATGTTCTCGCAACTAAAGATCCTCTTGGAGTATCTACAGTTAATCGTCTCACATCAGTAGAAGAGGACTGATATCAAGTATCAAAAGTTGATCTATGAAGGTCATGTAGTTTGACATATGTTCTGTAAGACGACCCCACCTCGAAATTATGTCTGCTTGGTCGAACATGAGCTGTTCACAAACAACGAGCCATTTTGACAGCCCTATATATATTTGATGCTCCTTTCTATAATTTGGTCTTTTAGGGGTATGAAAGATATTTGGGTGTTATATATGTGAACCGGTTAATTTCATCATGAAATAAGTAAATTCTAATATTTATGGTGTATATATGTAAAAAACCCAAAGCTCCAATAATCCCAGTAGTGAGAGCGCTCATTCCATCAGGACACCATACACAAATTTACCTCTGGAAGCCAATGAACACTTGTCAAGTGAATCCCACTATAATATACTGGTTGGATATATTTTTTAGATGGATGAGACACTCTTATCACGTGACATAATCCAGATGCAAACTTTACGTTCGGTGTCCTATAAAATAATTTCTTCAGTACGGCGGGGCAATACCCAAAGAAATTTAAAATTAAAAAAAAAACATTTCTTAATTATTTTTAAAAATATGCTAATTCCAAAATAGGAGCGGGGGTGCGGACGCCGCACTTACATTCAACCACGTGAATTACAGGGGTTCCTTGGGTCCCAGGATCTCGAACGGCCTGGCGTTTTGAAATTTGAATCCAAGCCAACGGCTGTGTGGACAGTGATCCACGTGACTCTCTTTCACGGCAAATCTCCGTACTCCTCCTCCTCCTCCTCCTCCTCCTCCTCCGCATCCCCACCACCGTAATGGCAGCCCTCACCCCCGGCGTTCTTCTCAAACTCCTTCAGTCCATGAACTCTGACTCCAAGCCCTTCGGCGAGCACCGCTCTGCCGTTCTTCAAGTCACCGGCATTGTCCCCGCTCCCTCCGACGATCTCTGGCCTTCCCACGGTTTTTACCTCCAACTCTCTGATTCCCTCCACTCCACCTATGTCTCCCTCTCCGATCAGGACGCCGATCTCATCGTCTCCAACCGCCCCCAGCTCGGCCAGCTCGTCCATCTCGACCGTCTGCATTTCGATCTCCCCGTCCCGCGTGCTCTTGGTCTCCGCCCTATCTCCTCCCCTCGTCACCACCCTTTTATTGGCTCACCCGAACCCCTCATAGCTCTTTCCACTCCTTCCCATGCCCCAGGTTTCGTCATCCAGCCAGCTTCCCCTTCTTCCGCCGCCAACACTGTCAAGCTACGCCCCGTCTTTGCACCCAAAGAAAACTTTCTCCTTGCTGCATCAAACCCCGCTTCGTCTGGTTCCACTTTGTCTGTTTCCAGGCCCAAGCGCAGGTTCTCATCTCCCGCTTCTCGGAACCCTTCCCCTCTTCCAGAAAAGCAGGGCAGCAGGGTTGGTTCTAGGGCGCCATCACCGGTGCCTTCCAAGTGCGATGTGCCTAGCCTTGTGGCCGCGCGGGAGGAGAATAGGAAAGTTGCGAGGGAGCCGGCGATTGTGGTCCCTTCGAGGTACCGGCAACCTTCGCCGGTTGCGAGGAAGACGGCGGGGGTTTCGCCAATGGGAAGGAAAGGTGCAGCATCGCCAGGTTCTCGAAGGTTGTCTGGTGGGATTAAGTTCTCGCCGGCGGCTGGGGAGGCGGGGGGTAAGAGGAAGGTAGGTCTAGTGGTTGCTGGGATTACGAGGGTTCCTGATGCACTTGTAGGGTCTGGCAGATCTGTGAGGAAGAGCTGGGATGATTATTCTTCTAGTTCGGAGAACAGTTCGGCTGAGACTAAAGGAAAGCCTGGTTCAAAGGGTAAAGCACAGGAGCAAGCTACAAGGAAAGCACAGGTAGCAGTTGGTCTTGCGGAATGATTTTTATTTGGGACTTTTAATTTTTCATTTGATGGATTTTGTTTATTTATTGATGCAAAATTTGCCATTTTTTTGGTTGCCTCCAGGTTCTATTTTTTGTATTCAGATATTTTTCTAGACTTTAAAACTTTGATCAGATTTTATGTGGAGAATGGTAACGCAGCTTTGCATTTCTTAAAAAAGAAAGAAATACATATATGAAATTTTTTCATAACAGGAGTCGATTGGAAGTATAAAGATATCCCAAGTGTACACTGTTTCTGGAACTGTACTTGTAATATATTTCTGGGACTGGGGATGGAGTCGCTCGGTAGAGATAATTTCAAATTTATTTGTTCAATTTAAATTTTTATTTATATGCTGCAGATCAGAATACTAGTTCTTGTTCTTGTGCTATGGTTTTAAACAATGGTTTATGCAGTTTCCCTCAGTATGAATGCTGTAAATTTGTTTTAGCTTTTTTTACCGGTTTGACAATAATTTTTGGTTTCTCCTCAGCATATTTGGTACATCTTTAAACATAATTTTTTTTTCCTCCTCAACATATTTAGTCCATCTATTAAATTTCCCAACTAAGGCTCACAAAATACAGCAATTCTTTCAGTTGGTAATTTATGTTGACTTCTATTTCATTTACTGGTTTTTTGAATTTCAAGTTTGATGTTTCATTCCATAAGTATGTTATGACGATAAATTACAAACTTACAAGTTATCAAGGCATTGTCTTATGATCGTACAAAGGAGCTACTTGAGCTAATAAAAACAATTTATGTTCTATTTTAAGTGACAAGTTCATCACCATTAGTTTGTAAAATGCTACTCTTTACTATTGTTTATGCTTCCCTGCTCATATTGTAGAGTTTAATTTATTGTAGAAGTAATTGTTGAACTTGCAATCTTTTTTTTTTTTTTCATATTGTGCCATAAATAATTTTCTTCTTATTCTAGTTTGAATCTCAGAAGTTGATCATGAGGATTGGTGAAATTTGTTGCTTTCTCAGTTATTCTTAAAGCATCAACTGAAACTGTTTAAATTGAAAAGGGCAATCTAACTTTTATATGGTAAAATCATCTAACAAATACTACTTTTTCTTATATCTCTTGAATTTTCTACTTGGCGATTTGCAAATTATTAGAAATTTGATTGGGAATGTCATAGAGCATTAAAGTTTATGCAAAAGCAATAATTGTAAATAAATATGTTGAATTCCAAAGGAATATAAAAAATATTAAGCAAACAGAAGAAGAAACCAAATTTTTTGTGATTTGACTAAACAAGCTCATGTTTCAGGGGATGAGAGATGATTCAATCCACCAAACAAAAAGCCACGAATGATGTATAAATTATAAAATATATGTCAAGCTCTTGATGTTATCTTTTATTGACAATGATCATTGGAACCTTAAAAATTATTGTAAGCCCTCCAATATAGTTAAATACCATCGTCGAGAACTAGGTAATAATTAATTATCATTTTAGTTGGATTTGAACCTATTTTAGTTGTTGGATTGCTGGAAGCAAAAAATAAAACCCAAGAAAGGCTTAACTAAGTCTTCTATAATCCTCTATCATCTCGATCAACATCGATATTAACTTGAGCCTTTTTTCCTAACCTTGAGCTATATGCTGCGCACCAAAAGCAAGAATGCCCCTACTCTTTAAGCTGTCCAATTTTCATAATGAAATGATTTATAAAATCTTATTCTCACATGCAAGATGTGAGCACTTTAAATAAAGCCAAAAACAATTCTAACTTCTTCCCCTAAAATCATGTAAGAGCGATAAGTCACGCTCCAGTGATGCTTAATGGCGAGATCAATTTGGTGGATCACTCGAAACTTGAAGTATGGTCTAGTAATAAATATTGACATCTAAGGAGAAATGTTGCTTTAATACATAATCCACAACTCATCAATTAGTTCAAATAATTCTTTTTAATGCAAAGAAATGCTTCATCAAAATTGAGTTTCCTTTTCATTTTTATTTGGTTGTGAGGCTATGATGCAAGCAAGATGCAACTTTGACTAGTGCCACCTTCTCAGTTTGGATTATCTTTGGTTGCACCATCAATGACATTCATAACTGCTCTACTAAACTCGTTTAACAACCATATGCCAGCAAATAGGATAAACTTATTGGGAATCACAAAGTGCACAGTGACAATGTTCATCATTTCCTTTGAGTGAGGCCACCATGCGGGTGGATCATTTTCTACATGTGCCATTCCTCAGAGACGTGTGACTTTGATAGTTTTCTAATTTTGATTCATGATCTCACATCTGAAGTTAAGTTGGATGATCATTGATAAAGCAACACATCATATTCCTTGGTTGATACTTTGGACTTAACTCCTATAATAATTTGGTACATTATCTGGTCAACATCTTCCTCCTACTTTTGGTTCATTGCATTGAGTTGGAAGTAACAATATAATGTAGGTATTAGCTGAACTCACCAAATCATCCTTCGTATGGTTTCCACACAAGTTAAAATTGGATCTTTTTTAGCCAATGAACTAGTTCATTTCAGTCACAAAGCCCAAATGGAAAAATCAGTATACTCTTATCTTATAATCTATACAATCGAAAAAATGGTCACAAATAAGGATACAAATTGGCCGTTTTTGAATGCCACCATGAACTGCAAATATGCTTTCACAAACTAAATGTTGCCGCACACAATAAAGTTGTTGCTCCAATATTTGATGTGCCATTGTGCCAACTGATTGTGGGCACATACCCTTAAGTTGTATTTAGTTTTTGGATAAATTTCTTAAAGATTAGTATAAACTTGTTCATCACATGAAAATTGCCTTTAGCAAAGACGAAAAAATTTCCCTTCATGTAGAATAGTACCAAATGATGAATAAGCAACAATATGATTTTTCCATCATAAACTAACATGGTGTCAGCTTCAAAGGAAAATTTATGAGCTAGTAAAGAACAAAAAATTTGTTGTCCTTGGATGCTTAAATGATGTTTGAGCAATATTTCAATAACCTTGAGTTGAAGTAAGAATATGTTGTAACAATTGAAACTGTGTAATTTATATTCATTTCAATATTACTCATATTTATGTGTTTTCTCTTTCACCTTAAGTTGTATTTAGTTTATGGATAAATTTCTTAAAGATTAGTATGCGTAATCCATCACACAAAAATTGCCTTCAGCAAAGACAAAAGAATTCCTTTTATGCAGAATAGTACCAAATGATCAATGAGCAACAATATGATTTTTTTCCATCATAGACTAACATAGTGTAAGCTTCAAAGGAAAATTTATGAGCTAGTAAAGAACAAAAATATCTTTGTTCTTGGATGCTTAAATGATGTTTCTGCGTTATTTCAATAACCTTGAGTTGAAGTAAGAATATGCTGTAACAATTGAAATTATGTAATTTATGTTCATTTCAATATTACTCATATTTATGTGTTTTCTCTATCATCCTTTTTCTATTTTCTACCATTGCCTTTTGAATTGAAATTTTACACTTATATTTAATTTCTTTAGCTAATTAAATATTTTTCTTAAGAGCATTAATGTGCATTCATGAAAGAAGTTCTAGAAATAAATATTTTAAGACTGGTAGACTAAGAAGGCTTGGACAACAAAATTTTCTTTTATTGCTTAGGCTTGGAAAACAAAGTTGTTGTTGACAGAATTGTCATCTAAACCTTCAACAACATAATTTTTATACAGGCCTCATATTATATTTTCATCATCTAATTCTTCGGTGGTGCCATGGCCATCCTGGCCCCCTTATAATTCTTCGCAGGTTCCACCTGAAAATTTATTTAAGTTGTTCGATATAGAGAGTTTCAAATTTTATATTTCCAGTTTAGAAGGCATAATTCTCTATTGTTGTTATTTTGACCCTCAATTAATGAACTAAAGTAAAAGGGCACTTTTGTAATATGGTACCGCTCACCTACCACATCTCACCTACCACATCTCACCTACCGTTCACCTACCGTTCACCTACCGCTCACCTACCTCCCACCTACCACTCTCTTGCTTCTATAAATAGAGAGGGTGTGAGGCTTAGGAGAG